ATATGTTCATCGATACGTCATTACAAGAATAAAATAATATGAAACGTCGTTAAAATAATTTTCACATTAGAATCGTTAATCCATTAAAATTATCTAGCTTATAAAGTTAGTATGTGATTGTGACGATTCCCAAGACACGACTGACAACAATGTTTTATATGTCAAGTGTTTTTCAAAGTTAAATTCTATTTATGATTGGTAAATAAGATTTATGAAGGCCTTCTATATTGTAAGTTAGATTATTCTCTTGTTGTTTAATATGAATCATTTTAGAAATTAAACAACGCTTGCCATAACACGGTTCTTCATCGAGAATCTTGACATTATCCCAATCAAAGTCGTATTCAGATTGCATTCTATGATCGGTTATAACAGAACGAGTAGATATGTTCTAGCGAATGTGATTACAATGTTCTTTTATTCTCATATTTAATTGTCTACCCGTGTCTGACCAACATAAGACGCAATCTTTACACTCGATTTTATATACTATATTATTTTTTGTAGACGATGATCATGGATCTTTTTGAATTTTTATGAATTTATTTAGTTTTTATTTAAACTAAAGAAAGAAACTTTAACATCTTTGTTGTTAAATTGTTTAAATTTATCTATAAACGAAGGAATTTACGGTATTGTCAACCAAGAATATTTAATTTCTTGATTCTCGTTATTTATCGAATCTTAAATAGCTGCTCTCCTTTCAGACAAGTTTTTTATTCTGTGATAATAGTTTCAAAAAAAAAAGGCAGAGAATAATCATTCCAATAAAGTCGTAATTATATAAGATAAATTTTTCTTATGGTGTTATGTCTTGGATCGAAAAGTAATAATGTAATTCTGTCCACCATGTCAATGGTATCCTCTCTTCTGAGAAATAGGATGGTTGGAAAAGAAATTCAAAAATCTACCCGAGCAGATAGGCTTTTGATACCAATTGAATGTTAGATAACTTTCTGTTTTTGTGATGGTGACGTCTAGAAAATTAAGCGAGTCCTCACTTCCAGAGTAAATTGCAGGTAGAAAGAGTTAAAATAATCTGAAATTTTATTCATTTCATCAAGATAGAACAGGTACCATACACAAGTCATCCACGTACCAATAATAAAAAGATAAATCTCTGTTGAAAAATGCTAAAGCTATTCTTTCTAATCTCTCCAGTATCAAGTCGCAATAACTGGTAAGAGTGGAGAGCCTATAGATATTCCAAAGGTCTGTTTATAGAATATATCATCAAATGTAAAAAATGTGGAATTTAAAATAAATTTTAGTGCCGCTAAAATTTCGCTTTTCGATGTTATATTTTTTAGAAATAAAGTTCCAATTTTCATTTACGTCTAGAGCTATTTCTATTGGAAATATAGGTAGTATAATGGCTCAATAATTTAAAAACAAGTTAAAAGCAAAAGCGCTACGAGCCAAAAATTTTTTGACCTATAAAAATTGGTAGATAAGTAAAAGTCTTAATAAATTAATTGTGAAATTTAATAACATGCGAACTAATAACAACAAACATTTCGATCACGATTGGATCAATGTTTACAAAATATATCTAAATAGTAAAAAACATAATATAAAGTCAATAGAAGATTATGAACATGTACTTCGTATTGAAAAATTATATAATTGTTGGTATCAATAAAATTAAGAAGAATCTTGTTAATTGAACGGAACAGTAACGCACATAAAATACATACATTAGAATTCGTCAGAGAAATAAAAGCTTATATTGTGTACGGTCGATGACAAATGAAAATACATTTTGCAATGTCATTAAAATGTTGTATCAATAATTGAAAAATGTTCTTGTTAGAAAATTTGTACAGCAAAAGAACGTGAATGTATGATTATATATTAGTGTCCAGAATGAAAAATAACGCATTACAGTTATAATAATAATGTAAGAATGATAGAAATTTGATAAGACCAATATAAAATTGTATAAGTAAAAAATGTACAAATCAGTTCAATTAAAATTAAATAAGAAAAATACTTTTCATAATTATAGTTAAGAGTTCAGTTAAAAAAAATAATTAAATAATACGAATAAAGTGCAATAGACAATGCGATGAGAGAAAGATCAATGTCTCTTATCTTCGATGTTGTTAAACGAAATAAATTTAATGATTTTCAGAGAAGGAAAGTAAAGTTGATATTAGAAAATAGTAGGAAATAAGAATAAAGAGGGAAAAGGGATAGCTAAAAAGAACATAAAAAGGGGATGTATAGAGAAGAAGGAAAGATAATTATGAGGAAGAAAGGGATTGTATGATTTGTGAGTAGGATTCTGGCAATGATTCAATGTAATTTTGTTTATTTAAACCTCGTCTTTTAATATAAATCATTTCAGATATCAATCTTTTGTTATAAGAAGACTCACTATCTAAAATCCTCATTCCATCTAAAATTATGATTAAAATTAACGCGATGATCAGATGTAACAGATGGAGGATCTGTCTTTTTGTTAATATCCGAAATGTGTTCACGCAATCTAATACTTAGTTTTCTCTTAGTTTGACCAACATAGCTGGTGTTACAATCATCACATAAGATCTTATATATAACAAAAATTTTGATTCGAAAGCAATTCTAACTTATCTTTACCTCTCATAACAAAATTTTTTAAGATATTGGTGATAGTGAAAGAAAGCTAGTTTACAATGTTAGAAATAGGTAGAAAATTTTCTGAGATGAAATGTACATAAGGAATTGTAAAATATTTTTCTTTGATTTGTAAATTTTGTATAATATTCTTATTTAATGTATGAAATTTTAATTTTTGTTCTATTATGAAAAAAATAAAGGAGACAGGATAACTATTTTCAAGAAAAGTGTGAATTGCATCGATCAAATTTTTTTTATTGAAAGCAATAGTGTGCCAGATAGAATATTTTGTCTAAAAACTGATAATTGTGTTTCTTTTGTGATAGAGAGGATGATTTAAATAGAAATTGAGGAACCTGCCAGAAAAGGTAACTTTGTAATATATATCAAAAATTCTTTGATTGTTAATATATATATATATATA